ATATGTTAGTGATGTCATGCTTCAGCCCTTTTAATTCTTCAATGCAATTGGTACCCGTCAGTAGATCATCCACATAGAAGTCCCTAGATATGACTTCACTCGCTAAAGGATATTGCTTCTTAAATTGATGTGCGAGCTCTTGCAGACACCTAATTGCTATGAAGGACGAACTCGACATTCCATAGGTTACGGTGTTCAATTCGAATATACGAATGGGTTCTTCTCTTGACCATCTCCATAAAATGCGTTGGAACTTGCGATGCTCTTCGGTGATTTGCACTTGGCGGTACATTTTGGTAATGTCCGCTGTCATGGCGTATTTGTATTGACGCAATCGCATGACGATGTCAAATAGATCATCTTGTAAGTTTGGTCCTATTCTGAGGAGGTCATTAATCGATCGTCCACTCGTCGTTTTGCAAGATGCATCGAAGACCACCCTCAATTTTGTGGTTTCGCTGTCTTCCTTTGTGACGGCATGATGCGGAATATAATAGGAAGGCTTACAGTTTAATTTATTCAATGGAATTTCCGTCATGTGTCCTAGACGTAAGTATTCCTGCATAAACTCATGATAGCGTTGTTTCAGCTCGAGATCTTTTTCAAGTTTGCGCTCTAATGATCTTAATCGCCTTTCAGCAATTCCGTACGATTCTCCTAATTTTTGAGTGCTATCCTTAAATGGTAATTGCGTTATGAAACGACCCTCTTCGTTTCTAGAGTGGGTGGAGACGAAATGTTCTTCACACTCGATTTCTTCCTTAGAATGGCTGTTTGTTTGATTTACTTCCTCTAGGTGCCAAAATTTTTCCAGTTGTCTCTGGATTGTTGCATTGGTAGAGATGCTGCAATATGTTTTGAGTCGCTGTTGATGCGTGCCTTCATCTTGCACGTTGCCCGAGATTATCCAACCTAAAGCGGTTTCTTGAAGTATGGGTACCTTGCACGAAGATCTGATTTGCTTGCTTCCCAAAAGCTCCCAGAAAATCGATGCTCCTAATAATAAATCTATGTCGCCGGGCGTATGATAGTGCGGATCTGCTAATTTTAAATTACCTGGTATGTTTACACTGTTTCTGTTGATTCTGAATGTAGGTAATTGATCAGTTATTCTATCGATAATCAAAAAGGTAAGCCTTGTCTGAAACGCACTTGTGCAAGATTTGATTGTTGCGTCTGCTTGTTGGATGGCACATATGGGTACATCGCTTATGCCCGTTATTGTTTTGTTGATAAATTCAGGGCTCAATTCTAATTTATCACTTAAACGTCGAGTGATGAAGTTCGATTGCGACCCGCTGTCAAGTATAGCACGGCATTTGTGTGGTCTTCCTTGAGAGTCGTAGATGAGTAAGGCTGCCGTGGAAAGAAGTACCTGAGAGGATCCTTTGGTGGCGTGGTTACTTAAGGAGACGGAGGCCGCATTACTTTTTGAACCCGCAATCAATTGTTGCCCCACGCTGACAGTGCTATTATCGCTTGAAGATGATGATTTTGTTTCCTTGTCGCTTGGCTCCATTGAGGATTTGGATCTATGTAATAGAGAATTGTGATATCCTTTGCACAATCGACAGTTGGAGGCTCTGCAACCCTTGCCATGGAATTGCTTGAGGCATTTTATGCATAAGTTTTTCCTTTTTATTTCTGCATTCCTTTCGGCTATTGACATACTGAGAAACGAGTCACATTCATAAATCTTATGGCTATTCGCACATACGGGACAAGATGAATTATTTGAGGCGATATAGGATTTTGAGGTATTTTTTCCATGACCGTGAGTGGTCTTATTGTTATCAGAGGCGGGTTGAGCATTTCGATTGGCTCTGGATACCGCCTCGAGGCATGCGCTACGGCTAATAAGGAACGTTATAAACTCATTTAAGGTAGGAAACTCTTCCACTTCGGATCTTTTGAATTCCCATTCTCTACGAGATCCCTTATCAATTTTGGGCAATATAATATGAATGACCCATATGGCAAAGTGTTCCACGCGTTGACCTAGTTTTGCGAGATTCTGTGTAATTTGTGATACGTTATCCACCAACTGTCTGAGGTCAGCGTGTGATTCCTTGGTAATGGATGGCAAGTCCAACAACGTTTGAATAAGCTGGTGAGTAATTAGTTTTTTATTTTCAAATCGCTGCCTTAATAAGTCCCAAGCGATTTTGTAATTATCATTAGTAATTTCTATTGGAGCTATTACCTTAGCGGCATCGCTAACCAACGCTGATCTCAGGTAGTGTAGCTTTTGAACTGGTGGAATTAAAGCATTTGAAGCTATGAGTGACTCGAACAAATCTCGAAATGGTATCCAATGTTCATAATTTCCATCGAACTTAGGTAGTTCAATAGTTGGAAGTCTAACAGCTGGTTTGAGCGCGAATTGCTCAAGCCCGTTGTTAAGCTGTGTAGCTGCTAAAGAATTTGGGTGCTGAACCTGATCTGGAGGAGCTCCTTCGCTTAATTGTAATTTTCGCGCCTTGGTTATTAAATGGTAATATGTATCTTCGAATTCTTTCCGTTCGGCAACTTGCACGTCAGTATCATCTATGTCCTCGATTTTACTTTGAATTACATCAAATTCTGACAAGAGATTTTCCGCCTTTTCGACACGCAACGGTAACTCTTCCTTATATCCTGGCATTTCCTCAACGCGGGCGACAAAATTGCTAAAGTTAGTGAGTTTTGCCTTTACTCTACCGCGCTGTCTATTTAAAATCGTTAATTCGGGCATTGTGAACCAATGAAACTTATAATAATTTCAAACGAATGAGCTTCTCCGATTGTATAATTAAGGTTAAGTTAGGTTAGAGTCCACAAGCGTCGAGCTCGTGGTCCTGTGCGAGCACTGTATTACCGGAGATATAACTATAGGTTACAGATACATACAATGAATAAACGATAGATGCTACTGAAGGTTACTCGATTCGATGATTATCGTCCGTGTGGGATGTCAGTCGAGTAGGCGGAAGAAGTCGGCGTTTCGCTGTTGCTCGAGGATTTCCTTACAGCTCTCGGACCATATATTAGGA